CCCCGCCCTCGTCTCCATGGAGACGGCGGCGTGCGTGGCTGCGCGCACTTTCTGCCCACCCGGGCTTGCTAGAACTTTCCCCTGTCCAAGTTTTTGGAGGTCCAGAGTCCCAAAGGACGATCCACAGAGTTAATTTTTTTTGTTGTTTTTTTGTTTTTGCCGGGAGTGGTGGCTCACACCTATAATCCCAGCACTCCGGAGCCTGATGCAGGATCTCTGAGAATTCAAGGCCAGCCTGGGCTACATACCGAGACCTTGTCTCAAAATACAAAACAAAATGCGCTCAATGCTCGCCCAGCTGTTTTAAAATTGAATTTTAAAAGCACTTCAGGACCGGGGATTTAGCTCAGTGGTGCCGCGGTGTGCCTCACAAGCACAAAGTACCTAGTTCGATCCCCGGTACCAAAAAAATAAAAGCGCTTCATTCATCGGGCACGGTGGCATATATACCTGTAATCCCAGCTACTTGGGAGGCTGAGGCAAGAGAACTGCAAGCCTGAGGCTAGCGTGGGTAGTAGTGAGTTCAAGGCCAGTCTGAATTACATACCAAGACCCTGTCAGAAAAACAAAAAAATTTTTTTAATAAATTAAAAATCCTTGAGAAGTGAATGCACAGACCGGAAGGTTACCGGGCCTTGCAGCGTGGCTACATCCCAGCCTTTTGTCCTGAGATACGATCTCCCGCAATTGCCCAGGATAGACTCAAACTTGCAATTCTGCATCGGCCTCCCAAGTAGCTGGGATTACAGGTGTGTACCACCGTGCCTGGTGAATGAAGCGCTTTCATTATTTATTTATTTATTTTTATGGTACGGGGATCAAACTCTAGGACCTTGTGGTTGGTTGCAAGACAGGCGTGGCACCACTGAGCTAAATTCCCGGCCTTGCAGTGCTTTTAAAATTCAATTTAAAAAAGAGTAGGCCAGGGGCCAGGGATTTAGCTCAGTGGTTCTGTGGCCTGCCTTGCAAGCGCAAGGACCCAAGTTCAGTCCCCGGTACCTAAATAAATAAATTTTTAAAAAAGAGGGGAAACCAGGCATTATGTGCACAACTGTAATACCAGCACTCCAGAGGCTGAAGGAGGAGGATCGCCATAGGTTCAAGGCCAGCCTGGCATTCATAAAGATACCCTGTGTCAAAAAACCAAAAAGTTAGGGTCGGGGATGTATCTCAGCGGTTCCGCCACCTGCCTTGCAAGCACAAGGACCAGAGTTTGATCCCTGGTACCAAATAAATAAATAGATAAATAGGGCGTGGCAACACATACCTGTGATCCCAACATTCTGGGAGGCTGAGTCAGGAGGATGGCAAGTTCAAATTCAGCCTAGGGATTTTAGAAAAATTAAGGCTAGGTATGTGGCTCAATGCAAGGGCCCTATGTTCCGTCCCCTCCGCCACAAAAAAAAAAAAAAAAAAAAAAAAAAAATTTAAATGCCCTTTGCCAACTCCCCGCATACCTCACCTCCATATGTGGATGAGACGCCTGTCCCCAGGGCTGTGGGGTGCGGCCCTCTCTTCCTCCTCCGTCTTCACGTCTGCTGGAGAACCTGCTGCTCACGGAGGAGCACCAGCTGCCACAGGAGCCCATATACCCGGAAGTTCTCCGGTCCTCTCCCTACTGTGCCCTATACCGCCTATGGCCAGCAGGGCGCGCTCTGGCTTCCCATAACCTCTCGCCCCAAGCCTGGCGCTCCCCCTAGCGCCACTGAGGAGAATAGCAAGGCTGTGGACAGAGGCCAGGCCACCGCCACAGCCCGGGCAGGGATCCAGATCCCCCACGTGACCTGGACAGCTGCAGCGACGTCGTGGACCCTTCCGTGGCCATTTTAACGTCCTCACTGGTGCGCAGCTCAGGAGTCCGTTCCAAGAGCGTTGCCGCCTGCAGGCCCCGGATGGGCTTCACAGCGGGATAAGAGAGTCACAGGTGGGGTGGGGATTTAGCTCGGTGGTTCCACCGCCTGCCTTGAAACCACAAGGTCCCGAGTTCGATCCCCGGTACCAAAAGAAAAAAAAGAGTCATAGCTTCCTCCAGTGACCATATCCATAGACTCTCAGGAGGGGCCAATGAAGAAGAATCCTTCCGTGAGCCTTTTTTAAGACAGAAGGAAGCCAGGCACAGTGATGCCAACCTGTCATGTGACCATATCCATAGACTCTCAGGAGGGGCCAATGAAGAAGAATCCTTCCGTGAGCCTTTTTTTAAGACAGAAGGAAGCCAGGCACAGTGATGCCAACCTGTCGTCCCACCACTTGGGAGGCTGAGGCAGGAGGATCTCAAATTCAAGGCCAGCCTGTGCTACAAAGTGACACTCAAAAGTTTTATTATTATATTTAGCTCCCGTGGGAGGCCCCGGGTTTTATCTCTAGCACTGCAAACCAAATCAAGCCAAGATCTCTTCCCAGACCAGTGCCCTCAGAAGCTCTGAAAGTGGTGCCCAGTAGGGGAGTTTCCTGAGCTCAGGTGCTCGGGTGCTGTGGTCTGAACACGAAGTGTCCCCCAAAGGGGGTGGCAATGTCCAATGCAGTGGTGCTGGAAGGTGACTGGATCACGGGGACGCTGGCTTCATCCAGAACCACCAGTGGTGAGCACACAGCTGAGTGGATGTGGCCCTGGGGACATCTGGCCCCTGCCCCTTCCTCTGGGCTGTTGGTCTGGAGGTGAGCAGTGTTCATCCACCCCACTGTCCCTGCCTCAGGGCCAGCTCCTGGGCCCCAGCTGGGCTGGCTGATGAGAGGCTGGGGCCCCCTTCCCTAGGCCTCCCACAGGGGTGGCAGGTGGCGTTCCTTTCACCACTTCAGGAGGCAGAAGCTGGCAGGAGATACGGGCAGGTGTTCTCAAAGAACCGTGGCCAGAGAAACACCCGTCCCTGTGCTCATCCCCCGTACCCGTCACACTCTGCGGCAGATGGCAGAGCAGTCTGAGCACAGCCTGGGACCCCGACGCAGACCCTATCCAGGTCATCTGCGGCTGCAGGGAGGACGTCCGAGGAGAGGGGACACTTGTGAGGCACAGAGGTGGGGAAGGCAGAGCCTGCATGCAGCAGGGAACAGAGCCAGGCCCTGGTCAGTACAGAGGTAGCTTGGGTTTTGGTGAAGCTCACCCTAATGTTCAGGTTTGCGTCATCTTTGACCTTCTTAGAGGATTGAACCCCAGCGTGCTCTACCACCAAGCTGCATCTCCAGCTAGACTTCAACTCATCAAGTAGCCCAGGCTGCCCTTGATCTCCTGGCAATCCTGCCTCCGTCTTCCTGAGTGCTAGGATCACAGGGGTGTGCCACCAAAGCCAGATTTAACTATTTATTTATTTTTCTTTTGAGACAGGGTCTTGCTTTGTAGTTCAGGTTGGACCTGAACTCACTAGGTAGCCCAGGTTGGCCTTGAACTCATGGTGATCCTCCTGCCTCAGCCTCCTGAGTAATGGGATTACAGGTGTGTGCCACCATACCCAGCCAGCTTTGTTTTGGTTCCAGGGATCAAACTCAGGACCTGGCACCACTGGACTAAACCCTCAGCGCCAGCTTTATTCTTTTGTAAAGGAAATTTTTTGGATTGCTTATGGTTAGTATATAGAACTGCAACTGACTTTTGTGGGTGCATTTTATAACTGCAACTTTATTAAATTAGTTTAATAGCTCTAACAGGTTTTATTCTTCTTTTTGCAGTTCTGGGAACGGAACCCAGGGCCTTATGCTGCTAGCAAGTGCTCTATCACTGAGCTACATCGCTGCCCCACATCCCAGACCCTTGGTGTTTTCTACGAAACACTGTCATCTGTGAAAGATACATCGACCTCTTTCAGGTCTGGATGCCTTCACCTGTCCCTTCCAGAATGCCCAGCAATCTGTTGAATGGAGGCAGCAAAGCAAGCATCCTTGCCTTTTCCCCGATCTTATGGTGGAGGGTTTTCACTGTAATTTACATGTTACCTCTCAAGTAGGCATGGTGTGCACCTGTAATCCCAGCACCAGGGGGGCTGAGGCAGAAGGACTGCTGCAAGTTGAAGGTCAGCGTTTATGGCATGAGTTCAAGACCAGCCCGCACTACATAGTGAGATCTCGTAAACAAAAAGTCGGCTTTGTGGAGTTTGTATGTTGAGGACATTTCCTTTGATCACGAAAGGCTGCTGATTTTATGAAATGCCTTTCCCATGTCAGTGAGATTGTTTGTCTTCCTCTGTCATTGTGATGGGTCCTGCAGTGGGGAGCTGTCTGGCTTCCCAGAAATGAGCGCCCTTGGCTGTGCTCTACGACGCTGCAGCTTCCTTAGCGGCCCAAGACCCAGGGACCTAACAGGGTTTGGTGCTCTCCGCAGCAACCCCAGTCCCTGCCGGAGGCCTGGAGGGGCCATGCCGCTCTGTGGGGCTCCAGCCAAGCCATGCATCTCAAAGGCTGGTGGCAGCTCAGAGCAGGGCACTCAGTGATGGGGGCCCTCCCAAGGCCCAGGAAGAATTCCTTCCTCTAAGGAGGGAGGCAGAGGGGTGTGCCAGGCTGCCCTCGGTTACCCCCTCCCCAGGGTGTGAAGCTCAGAAGCAAAGGAAATCACCGGGAAGATGGTAGCAGCTGTTCACTGGCCTGGTCCCTGGCCAGGGTTCCCCAGCTGGTCTACCTTTGCTATGTATTCCAGGCTGGTGTCAAACTTGTAGCGATCCTCCTGCCTCAGCCTCCTGAGTGCTGGTTGGAGGCTGGCTAACCCAGGAGCCAGGCAGGCGAGGTTCAGATCCTCCATGAGCCATCGGTAGGAGACATTCAGGAGGGGGATGGCAGGGTGGGGGTTTTCCGGGTTTCCTAAGAGAAAGCAGCGATCTGCCTTGGACTTGGTGCTACATTCAGTTTGAGAATGCACACACAGAAGTGGGTCACACAAGACACACAGTGGGCTGTCTTCTGCCTCTGCAAGGGCCTTACATACCTGAGATACTCAGGGTAGTGTATGTGCACCAGTTACACTCTGGCTACATCTTACAATGACCTGGAGATTTTCCTTTCTTCCTCGTAGTAGGGATTGAACCTAGTGCCGTTGGACAGAGCTACCTCCTGGGCCCAGTACATCCTTATTTGTACTGGATAGGTCTCAATTCTGGGCTCAAGCAATACTGCCTCAGCCTCAACAACAGGCAGAATGTTTTTTTTTTTTTTTCTCAAAGACAGCAACAGGAACCTGAGAAGAGGACACAGCAAAGGGCGTAAGGGAGAAATGAGCAAGGTCAGTGGGTGCCTCTGTGAAACCTGGAGGGACCTGCAGGGCGACCCGCCAGCACTTTCCTGAGATCACTCAGGGGCATCTGTTCGGGTGCAGCCGGTGGTTCACACACATCGGGGTCAGCTTTGCTGCTCTCCCTACCATGTGACACCTGAGTGTTAGCCAGTCAGGTGACAATGACACCCACAGCTAGATCTGGCCTGCGGCCACAGCATTCTACGCTGCTCCTCGAGTGGGTGAGGCGGTCTCCACTCAGGTCCACACACCGGGGACGGGCAGCACAGGGTACCTTACACAAGCCCAGGGACAGGGCCCTCCCACCACGTGCCAGTGCAGCGAGGGTCAGCAGGAAGGACAAGGGCAGAGGCGCTTGCTTTGATCTTGTTAAATTTTATTGGCATTGCGTTCATCTCTTTACAGAAGAACTCAGCCTACACCTAACACGTAGACCTCTGAAAAGGTGAGGGGTGTGCTCTGGGCCGGGCTCCCAGCAGGGCACCAGGGCAGGGGCAGAGCTGCGGGCGGGCGGGCAGACTCCAGGTGGGAGAGTGGGGGCAGCAAGGGCTGGGGAGGGACAGGCCAAAGTCTGGAGGGAGCGCCTCTAGGACAGAGGGAAGACACCGGGACAGACGGCCGGCCTTTGCCTGGTCCTTGGCTCGGAAGGGGGAGGCTGACCTAACAGGGGTTCTTGTGTGAAGCGGAAAAAGAAAAGAACCGATAAGGGAGGGTGAGCTTCAACTTCTGAAATGACAGCCAGGGATCCATTGCACACACTGCTGGATTATGCAAATCAACCTTGGGGAAAATCAAGACCCAGCGGAGGTGCAAGCTTTCCGGCTTGAGTCTCTGAGAAGAGGCGCATCGCTCGAGTCTGCTGTACACAATACTGCTGATAGCTGGATGTCGCATCCGGGCCGCCAGCCCCGCCATCCGGAAGGGTCTGACCCTCTGCCTTCCACGCCTGCGTCACAGGACTTCAACACGTCATCCAAGGGTTTCTTACACTAATTTATACATTTTAATTGGTTGCATATATTAACATGTACTATAAGATTCTCTTCTAAGAAGCATTACATAATAAATGGATACTGTAAAAAGATCTGATTAGTTAAAAGTAACAAGCATTAACAGGTACATACAAAACTCAGCCTGATCGACTGGGTGCATTGGGACGAGCAGGGGCACCAGCCTTCCCAAGGGGCCTTCGGGGGCATGGGGACAGGGTGGGTAAAAAAGACCACAAGACCATTAAAAAAATCAGGCAACTAATTAGACACAGATCAACTGTAAACAGTTCTCTCTCCAGTGGACAACAAGCCTACGCTTCCCATGCTGACTGCATGCCAGAACGGTTCCTACAGTGGCTGGCCGCCTGCTGCCAGGCTCGTGGAGGGCGGCGGACCTGTGGGCCACTGAGGCACAGGCTGGTGTGTGTGTGTGTGTGTGTGTGCGCATGTGCGTGCGTGTGGGTGTGGAGGGTGGGGCGGGGTTCCTTTTGGCAGCTGGCTGTGAGATCAATGTCTGTTGTATAGAGAAGAGGGGGCTGTGTTGAAGGCCTAAGTGTGTTCTTGGTTCTGAAGGACTCTGTGCTCGGCGCCTGCCGCCCCTCAGCAACTGCAGCTCTCGGCAGAGGGCTTGGCCCGGTCGTTCTTGTCCAGTTTGATGGGTTCGGGGAATTCATTGTACAGCTCCACCTCTGTCTCCTGGAGTGGGAGAGCAGGGTAGAAGAGCAGTATTAGGACCCGAAGGGAAGGCAGGCCACTCTCCAAGAGCAGCAAGAGGTGGTTGCTGCACGGGAGATGCTGGCAGTGCTCCCTGGATGGCGCGGGGCTGCCAGGACTCAGGCAGACTTCAGGGTGGTCTGCGCTCCCCAAGTGACAAGGCTGGGGTACCAGCTGCCCTGCCACCCCTGCGCCCCGTCTTTCTGGGCTACCACTCTAGCTAGCATCTGGTTTTTTTTCTCTAGAAGCTTAGGAGAGGTCTGGTTCTCAAATGCCTCCAGGTGCGGAGCTGTGCTCTGTGCCTGGCTTTGGAAGGGAAGCAGGGGCTGTTTCTAGTTGAGAGTTCTCTAGGGCTGGGCTGTGGCCCAGAGCAGAACGCTTGCCTGTGTGCCCAGGGCCTGGGTTCCATCCTCGGCCTGCAATAGAAAAACTGTCTAGAAAGAACTATTCACCTCCTATAAAACATACAGCACAGCAGTTTCATGTACTTACAAACTGGGCAGCCATCGCCAGAACATTCATCACCCTAAAAAAGCAGCCTCGCCCTGCCCAACCTTGGCTCTGGCAGTCACTTATGTACTTCCCGTCCCCCAAGTTTCCTCTTGTGGGCTGTTTACCTCCAGTTCGTGGGGGACAAAGCCCAGGGCCTCACACACACTGGGCGAGCACTCAGCCATGCAGCCAAGTCTTAAGCCTAGATATTCCTTTAAGTGGAATCATACAGCATGCGGCCTCTGAACTGTCCTGTTTAGCATCTTGTTACACCACTTACCAGCTCTTTCCTTCTGTTCTGTTTTTTTTTAAACAGGGTCTCACTATGGAGTTGAGACTGACCTGGCGCTGAGTGTGTAGCCCAGGCTGGTCTCGAACTCAGTGATCCTCCTGCCTCAGCCTCCCGAGTGCTGGGATTACAGGCGTGCACCACCACGCCCGGCAATAATCTTTTTATTTCTTTTTTTGGCTTTTGATGTAGTCTGGATTGGCCTTGAACTTACTACGTGGCCCAGGGTGGCCAACTCTCCATAATCCTCCTGCCTCAGTCTCCCGAGTGCTGGAATAACAGGTGCAAGACACCAACACCTGGCTTAGACCATGTCTATTTACTTATCAGTTGGACCTTGTTTCTACTGTCTAGCCATGACAAACAGCAGCATTCTGCAGTCCTCCGGGAGCTAGGAGTGTGTGTGACATGAAAGGCAAAGGACCTGAAAAGGTATAAGACCCTACTGAAGGGTGTTCTACAGGACCTAAAATAACAGCTGCTGGGGGCAGGGTGGCAGGGTCCCTGACGTTCCACACCAAAGCCCTGTCCCACTGCGCCTGTGTCTGGGCCTCACTGTGGGTCCCCAGAGGGTGTTCTCCTCAGGGTACAACTGTCCCTTAGAACACTTAGTCCTGCGTCTCCTGGGGAGGGCGTCCTCAGAAGGAGCTCTTCCCCAGACTTCCCACACTCGCACACACAGAGCCAGGGCTTCCTGCGGGTGGGGACCCTGCCCTTCATGGCCCCCTGTGCTCCCCCAGCACTTGCCTCACCCGCCACCACGTGTGGTGATGCCTCGAGCCCACCTTCACGTGCCACAGTCCCCAGCAGAGCAGCTCCACCCACACCACCTGTCACACCTGTGGTCACGGCCACTGTCGGGAGGAAGGCTGGCTGGAGCTCCAGGACTTGGACTCCTTGCTAACAGTTTCCTTTCCCGTCTGTGTCACTCACTTAACTACTCCCAGGAGGAAAGCGGCACGCTGTGTGAGTTGAAGGAGCGTCTCCTTGTAAAGCAGGGAGGAGACAGCAGCTCAGAGGAAGTGAAAGCCCCAACAGTGCGACGGACAGCAGAGCTGAGACACGGAAGCCATCACGTCACCTCCCCACAGCACAGGAAGAACTCAGGACAGCAGACACACGACGGCCTCAGCCACAGCGCGGGTCTTCCATAGGATCTCGGAGTGGGTGGGCTCCCAGGAAGGCAGCAGACACAGCCAGGACCTACCTGCTTAAGCGCGTTCCGTGCGATCGTCTGGAACGCCTGCTCCACATTGATGGCCTCCTTGGCACTGGTCTCGAAGTAGGGAATGTTGTTTTTGCTGTAGCACCAGGCCTGTGCCCTCTTCGTGGCCACCTGGAGGAGGAAGCAGGGTGCTGCACTGATTCAGGAACAAGGCTGGGTGTCACTTGACACCTGCAGGCCAGCTCAGACCTCTGGTGGCCATAGCTCCCTTACAGCCACTCAAGAGGGAGTGAGGAACCAGCTGGGAGAGAGCACGGTCTCCAGGCTGCCGTGGGCAGCATGGTCTGGGGCTTGTATCCTCCCCATTACTCCTGCCTCATCACCTGCACCGCGCACTCTGGTGCCAGCTCCACTCTCTGCAGCTCCTGCCCCTCACAGCTCGACGCCCCATCCCAGGACTAAGTCTCCGGCGGGTGGCTGAATCGAAAGGGTGCTGTCACTGATGTGTGAGCCCGTCCCCACAGGGACGTGCATCCCAGGCGTGCAGGCGATGCTGCTCACACCCGAGCAGCCTCCTGCACACAAGAGACCCTGGCTGCAGGTGATAAATCAAATCTCCTCCTGCCAAGCACAGAAAGGGAGTCCAGCTCCAAGAGCAAGAGAGCAGCCAAAGCCACCAGGGAAGGGGCCTTCCAGCCAAGCCCCTGACACACCCAGCATCTTCGGTCCTTGGGACTTACTTGTCTGTTTTCGAGGTCAATCTTGTTCCCCAGCACAACAAAGGGGAAGTTCTCCGGGTCCCGGGGGCTGGCCTGGATGAGGAACTCATCCCTCCAGCTGTCCAGGGTCTTGAACGTGTTGGGGGCCGTCACGTCAAACACCAGCACGCAGCAGTCTGCGCCACGGTAGAAGGCCACACCAAGGGACTGGAACCTTTCCTGACCGGCTGTGTCCCATATCTGCGAGAGAAGGACAGTGTTTCCTGGGGACATAGGCAGGGCGCTGCTCTGCTGGTGCTGGGAATGCACCAGTGAGAGGCGAAGGCGTGGGGCCACCTGAGATGGCGACTCCAGAGCTCAGAACAGGGCTCAAGGGCTGCAGTGTCCAGAGCACCCTGCATTCCAGACGGAGTCTGTGTCTATGAGGGTGGCAGGGAGCCCATCTCTGAGCCACCAGAACAGTTTGCGTACTTTTCCGGTGTTGACAATGGAAACCACAGCATGGCGTGTACTAGGCGAGCGCTCACCTGCGAGCCATATCCCCAGTGTAGACATTTTGCAAGCTTCCTCCCTCAACCCCAGGAGTAGCTGGGATTATGTATGTGCATCATGGAGTGCTCAGAGAGGGGGATATTCTCTGGCCATGGGGGACCCCTATACTCTCAGCCAGTAGGGAGGCTAGGGCAGGAGGATGGCAGGTTCTAGGCCAGCTCAGGCAACTGAGCAGGACCCTCCCCCAAAATTCAGAAATCAAAAGCAGTGGGGTGTAGCTCATCCCTAGGGTGAGCATGAGGAAGGCTCTGGGTTTGATCTCCAATACTGCAGAACAAAGCCAACTTAAACCGACAAGCACCATGACAGAAAGAGAGGGAGAGGAGAGAAAGAACTCCAGCGCACACAGCAAAAATGAACAGGTCCCACTGGCCCACTGGGGGCTGCTGTCCTCGGGGCCACGCCAGGTTCAAGAGCAAGGCTGGTGCTGGGTTTGGAGAATCACACCTTCACTCCAGCACCCAGTGCAGCTGAAGCAGGAGTATGAAGGCCCTGGGTTCAATCCCCAGAACGAACAAGAGAGAGACAGAGAGAGAGACAAAAGTTTCTTTTTCTTGGTACCAGTACCACAGAGCTAAACCCCCAGCCCTCCATATTTTTATTTTGAGGCAAGGTCTCACTAAGTCTCTAAGTTGCCCAGGCTGTGCTGGAACTTGCGAATGTCCTGCCTCAGCCTCTCCAAAAGACAGGATTATAGGTATGTGCCAACACATCTGGCTCTAGAACTTGAAAAATGAGACTTGAATCCAGACTTGAACATAACACACACACATACAGAGACTTCATTAGGGAAGTTAGTGTCATGCAAACATCTGGGAAGTAACTAAGCAAAAGCCAAAACGAAAGCCAGACGGAACCTCCAGCCCTGGTCTTCAGCGTCATGCTGCTCTCAGAGCCACGCGGGGGCCTTTCATGCCCCTTTCTACACGTCCCTGTCCTGCAGGACACATGACTCACTCTCCTTTTAGAAGAATACTGCTGCCCATCGTCCATGCTATGAACAGCTCAGGATGACCATGCACACGTAGCGCTCTTCTATCACAAATGGCTTTTAACGGCAGCCCTGGGAACGGGACCCCGGGCTCTGCTACAGAGCCACCCTCAGCCCTTTCCATTTCGAGACAGGCCGGTCTCAAACTCGAGACCCTACCTTAACCTCCCTCGTGGCAGGGATTCCAGGCATGTGTCATGTGGCTTCTTCTAGACAGAACCAAGACTGGCACTACTGAGAACTCTGTCCTCCCAGGAGGACCTGTGGTTATTTGGAATTCACGTACACAGATGTGACCAAGAAACAGCTGAAAAATGGCTGAAACACTGAGGGGCTCTTCCCAACAATTCCCAAAGTTAAATTTTACTTTATTTTTTTTGCGTTTTTTGAGACAGGGTCTCACTATGTAGTTGAGACTGACCTGGAACTCACTATGTAGCCCAGGTTGGTCTCAACTCACAGCGATCCTCCTGCCTCAGCCTCCCAGAGTGCTGGGATTACAGGCGTGCGCCACCACGCTTGGCTTTCCCAAAGTTAATTTAATTTCAAATTTATCAGTGTAAGTCTCTAAGTTGACCAGGCTGTGCAGGAACTTACAGTTGTCCTGCCTCAGCCTCCCTAAAAGGCAGGATTACAGGCGTGTGCCACCATAACCTTTCTCTGACTGGCCTTTTACATTAAAAAATTTTTTTTTCCTTTTTCCCCAGAACCAGGTATCGAACCCAGGACCTTTCACTTTCAAGGCAGGCACAGTGCCACTGAACTAAACCCCAAGCCCAACATTTAAAATATTTTAACAAATATTTTATTTTCTATATTAAAAATTATACCATACATTCATCTATTCACTACTTTGATGTGACAGAACAAACTTCTGAGTGTGACACCAGGCACGGAGCCCCACACCGGCCTGGCCTAAGCACACACTCTGCCACCAGGCTGTGCTCCCCACCCTGAGGTGACCAGCTATGCGGACACCATCGAGGGTTCAGGGTCATCTTCTCCCTCCTTCCTCAGAAGTCAATGGCCTGGGAGACAGCTTACAAACAGCACTCCTCTGCCCATCTCTTCACATCACAGCTGTCCTCTGCTCATGCTCACAGCGGCAGTTAGGACAGGCACTGTGTGGCCCAACACACCGTATGCACCCACCTCAGCTGGCAGCCAAGAGCAACCTTCTATCATCCCTCTCCTGCCCAAGGGGACTCCTCCAGGCCACGGCCAGGACCCTGACACTATGACACTGCCGTCAGCTCTGGGACACAGCTCTGGGACACACTCCCGTCTCCCTACACACCAGCTATTCAGCGGCTCCCTAGCACTTCCCTCTGCCATCCCCAAGGCCGCTTGTCACCTGGGTCGGTGGGCACGCTCCGGGTCTGTCCTGCTGTGCTCTGTCCACATTCTTCTTGTTCAGATGTTTAATGTGGTTATTACCACCTTCAACCTTTTATGATTGTGTTTTCTCTATTCTTTTCTTTTCTTTTTTTTGGTAGCAGGGATCGAACTCAGGACCTCACACTTCCAAGGCAGGCACAATGCCACTGAACTAAATCCATGGCCCTTTTTAAAAACTGTCTGTGTTTTCTCTATTCTAAATGCCAAATGTATGCCGACCTAGCGTAAGTGAGGGAGGTCCTGGGTTCAAGCCTCAGCCCTCCCCTCCCCATTCCATGCCAAAGGATTAAAAAAAAAGTCTATTTTTAGTCAGGTGCAGTGACACATGCCTACTATCTTAGTATTCTGGGAGGCTGAGACAAGAGGATAACAAGTTTTAGTTCCACCTGTACAATTTTGCAATGCCCTGTCTCTAAACACAAAAAAAGGCAGGGATGTCGCTCAGGGCAAAGGCCCTGGGCTCAACTAATCTCTAGTACTAAGAAATAAGAGCCCAAGGGCCAGGGATTTAGCTCAGTGGTTCTGCCGCCTGACTTGAAAGCACAGGGACCCGAGTTCGATACCCGGCCAAAAAAAAAAAAAAAAAAAAAAAAAAAGAGCCTGAGATTTAGGCAGCAGGAGACAGTGATGTAGCCACACACACACCATTGTCCCTGGTTACTCATTACAGTATGTGAGCAGTGGAACACGCCCACTAGCTTCCATACAGTCAGGTCTTGTGAACCATCCACAGGTGACATAAGTATGCACACCAGAGGCTGTATCCAGGTGAATACAAACAGGACATTTAAGGGACTTGACTACCTGGCAGGGGATGGCGTGGGGACACCAAGGGCCAACTACACTAGTTTGGAAGTTACTCTTACCTTTCTCCTTTTTTTTTTCTATTTTATTTTTGTTTTTGCAGTCCTAGGGATTGAACCAGGGCCCTCACACTGAGTTACATCCCTAGACCTTTTGATTTTTAATTCTGAGTAAAGGTCTTGTGACCTACTGTTTTAGCCTCTCAAAATACTGGGATTGCAGACATGTAGCACTGTACCTAGTTTGTGTGTGTATGCGTGTGTGAAACCTAGGGCCTCACACATGCTAGGCAAGTGCACTGCAAGTGAGACATACCCCCAGCTCAGGAAATTATACTTCTGTTTCTTGAGACAGGGTCCCAAATTCACTAAGTAGTCCATGATGGACCCTTCTGCCCCAGCATCCCACGTGTAGAGATTACAGGCTGCATGAACACCTCCACTTGGCTGTAAACTGTTACATACAGAACACAATAATGAATGACAAGCACCACGCTATGCAGTGCTCTAGCATTTATTCATCCTGGGTGACACAAGAAACTGGATTTTGGTTATTTCTTTAAATGAAAACCATTAAATTACCGGGGGGGGGGCTGCTGGTCTTTATTAACACCTGTTTTCTTTCTTTCTTTTCTTTTTTTTGGGGGGTGGGGGTTTGAGACAGGGTCTCACTATGTAGTTGAGACTGACCTGGAACTCACTATGTAGCCCAGGATGGTCTTGAACTCACAGTGATCCTCCTGCCTCAGCCTCCTGAGTGCTCAGATTACAGGCGTGTGCCACCATGCCCAGCTTGTATTCTTTCTTTGATTTTCTTTTACTGTAGAACTGCTAAAAGCCCTTGAAAAGCATGTGAAGATCCCGAGATCTCGGATGACAGCTGGGCGCAGGCTGAAGAAAATCACAAATTCAAGGCCAATCTGCACAACCTCAGTGAAATGGTCTCTCAAAAAAAAAAAAAAAAAAATTAAAAAAGAGGCAGGTGTGGTGGGGCATATCTACAATCACAGCACTCAGGACACTGAGGCAGGAAAATCACTGTGAGTGTGAGGTCAGCCAGGACTATAAAGTGAGTTTAAGGACAACCTGAACTACATGGTGAGTCCCCATCTAAAAAAAAACAAACCAGAAAACGTGGGTGACATCTTGCCCAGAGACAGTTTTCATTAGCTTCTCGCTTCCAGTCTCAACCTGGCTTCACCTCCTTCACCTCCTTCACCCACAGTCCAAGGCATGGGCTCCTCGGGGCAGCACAGGGCCAGGCAGGGCCAGGCAGGAACCCCCGAGAATACCCAACTCAGCAGGGCCATGACGCACAGGACCAAATTCTCAAACTCTGCTGTTGGAGACAGAGACTGTGCTGCCCCTCTGTGGCCTAACTGCTGGCCCCAGATCTGTCACCTGTCCTCCTCTCTCACTGCTCTTAGGGATTGTGCCTTTGATCTTCTGCAATTTTAAGTTTTCTCCTAGGAAATTTGCTTGGCTCTGAGAATTTACTGTGTTTCTGTGGCTGTGTATAATCCAGAGGCTAACTGTTGATTACTTTATTTCAGTAGTCGCTTTTCATTTAATGAAGATCTGTTTTCCATACCCTCATTTTATAGCGTCTTTTCCCACTGTAGTTTCTATTTCCTCCAGAACTCTTTGTCATTATGAATGTTTCTCCTGAAATACATTTCCTCGTTAGCTATACGCATATCTTCCCTAGTTTCAGGGTGTCCCTATGGAGTTGTCTTTGCTACATTAACTCTTCAGACAAGATTTCCATTCCTGGCAGAGTATGGACTGTGGACAACGGGACCATGAGGCCCCCAACCTGCCTTGTCCACCTCCTCAGCCTGAGAGTCCCAGCCCTACTTTCTGAGCCTCCCCAATGGTGGGTGGGTGTACAACTTAGCAGTGCAGCAAGGTCCTGGCTCCAACCCCCAGTGCCACCAAAAAAAAAAGCAGATCAAAAAGTGAAGACATTTCGGAACACAGGCGGGAAGGTGTAAGATGCCAGATTTAGCAAAAACCAAAACCCCAAAGCCAAGACAAACTAAAACAACAAAAAACCCAGGAAGCCCAGTTAAACCTGAATTTCATAAAACTCATCACCCAATTTTAGTGTATCCAAGTTCTAATTAGGGTTGAGGTGTGGCTCAGTGGTACAATACCTTGTTTTCAATGGTGCTGGGAATGGAACCTAGAACTTCAGGCACACCAGAAATGTGCTCTACCACTGAGATATATCCCTAGCCTGAGGAAGTACAACTCTCTGTGTGCAGGATCCCCTAGGTCCATTCTTAGTGCCACAAAACGGGGGTGGGGTGAACTTAACCCAGTTGTCTGGTGTGTGTTTGATAATCCCGCCCATAGCCAACTACCCACAAATACAACTGTGAGGTCTGAGGGCACGGAAGGAAAATGCCGAGGTAGCAAGCAAGGTGAGCTGGCAGTCATAGCGGGAGGCAGGCCTACCTGCATGGTGACTAGTCTGTCATCCACCATCACCTCCTTGGTCAGGAAGTCTGCTCCTATTGTGGCTTTGTACTGGTTACTGAATTTCTTGTTCACATACTGGTTCATAAGTGATGTCTTTCCGACCCTGAAATTGGAGAAAAACCACAAGTCTGAGTCAAACAGGAAAGGACTGAAACTGACCTAGGCATGTGCAACTTTATAAGGAACCTGCCAGTCCTGAAAGAGGAGGAGAAAAAGGAGGAGAAGGAGGAACTACCCTCACTAGCTGGGCAGTGCCAGCAAATGCCAGCAGCACCCCAGTCACACTGTACTTTCTCCTGGGTAAAAACACAGCGTGGGGGTGGAGCTCGGTGGAGCGCCCTGGCTTAGCACAATAAGGCCCCCGGGGTGCGGGGGGCAGCATTGGGGTGGGGAGAAAATAAGAGTCCTGATGTGTGCCAGATGCTGATTAAGTTCTAGTATGGGCTACTCAGTGGTAGAACCTAGTATCATTCTTTCCCCTTCCAGAAGGATGTCAGCAACTATCTTCTAAAAGAAGCTGCAGTAATAAGATCGCTCCACTATTCCAAAAACATCCCTGCAGTCTGCAGTGTTTCCCTCTTTGGTGGCTGTTACTTAGCTTGATGCACTGAGGCTGCCGGGACGAGCATGCTGCCCTGGAGTTGGAAATGCGACGTGGAGAAAACACCCACCGGTGTCATCAATGAGTCCACTGCAAGGCACGCTCTGCCCAAGGCCTTTCCCCCACAAAGCTCATAGGAAATGGCACGTGGCCTTTTCCCAGCCAAGGCCAGGGCAGCCTGAAGATAACACAGGAGCCCCCGAGCCAACAGCACCACCTGTGTCCCTCAGATGGACAGGTCATCTTCATTCATGGGGTCCCCGGATGGACAGCACCACCGCAGCTCACTCCACCCAGACCAGAGCAGCCAGGAGGGGAAGAGTGAATGCTGCAGCAGGAGCCGCAATGGGACAGGGCCAGCTCCTTCTCCACAGGCCCGTCTGGCAATGCAGGCCAAAGGGTCTGTCCGTCCTGACAGTGCAGGAGTGTGGCGGGGAGATACGGGACAAGGCACTCAAACCCCACCCCACTGATTTGGGGCTGGGCAAACACTAGCTTATTAAAAGGCTCCCAAGCAGTTCATATAAGCCAGCCAAGAAAGAAAAATCACTGACTTCTTGAAGCAAAGGAAGGAGGGAATTTTGAGTTGCTTTTTTTGGAGGGGCGGTGTACCGGGGATTGAACTCGGGACCTGTGTTTTCAAGGCAGGCAGTGGAACCACTGTGCTAAATCCCCAGCCCCAAGGGAGGGGATTTTGAGACACAAGGGCATACCTGTCTATATTTTTATTATTTTGAAGATAAGAGTCTTGCTATGCTGCCCAGGAAGGTCCTGAATTCCTGGGTTCAAGTGACTGTCCTGCCTCAGCCTCCTGAGTAGCTGGAACTACAGGTGTGTATATAATATTCAGCTTATTACTGTTGTTTTATTTTATTTTTAAAAATTGATTGATTGATTGTTTTTTGAGACATGGTCTCACTATGTAGTCATGACTGACCTAGAACTCATTATGCAGCCTAGGCTGGTCTCAACTCACAGCGATATTCCTGCTTCAGCTTCCCGAGTGCTGGGATTACAGGCGTGCGCCAACCACAACTGGCTTATTTATTACTGCTATTTTAAAAAGATATGTAAGCCTCCAATGAGGTACAGCTACCTTGATTGGTCACCACCGAGTCATGTCAGACACCAGAAAAGCCTACTAGTCAGTTGCTCAAGAGTTAGTACAGATCTAAAAGCAGAAGCCAGGTCCCCCCACCCCTACACAGGCCTGACCAGGCACAGGAGGCAATGTACCCGCACCTAGGCAAGAGCCAGAGACAACCCCTCTGCGGCAGTGGCAATGCACAGGCATAAGCAGGCCTCCCAAGGCTGAATAACTCAAGAGCAAAGGGGCTTCATGAAAATGCCCACATCAGCTGAGTTCAATCAGCCACCTGTCCCCCTACCGATCATGCTATGAAAGCCACATAGGCTATGAAGATTGCACAGTAGGAGGTCATTCCTACTGGAAGAAATCATTCTGCTGTACACCAACAGCAGGAGAGGAAGAGCCCAGAGTAGGACACAGTGATGTCCGCCAGCCCAGGGATGGAGGGAACATGGCAGAGACACCCCCGAGAGTGAGGCTCAAGCTCTAAGCCAACACAATGGCTCAAATACAGATGGACACAGTGAGGGATTTAGCTCAGTGGTGCCACCACCTGCTCACAAGCGCAAGGTCCCAAATTTGATCCTGGATATTATTAAAAACAAAAACAAAAACAAAAACCAGGAGACACTTACCCTGAATCACCCAGGATGATAACCTTTAGTAACACTTTCTTCCTCGAGGTCATCCTTCAAACTGCAGGAGAAAGGAGAAAGCACAGTGAGCAAAGACCAGCAGGAGGAAATGCCCCTTGACACAGCTCTAGGCCGTCAAGACCCTTCTGATAAAGGTCCCATCACCAGAACTTGGGTCCAGTGAGCTTAGGGGGCAGGGGGGAGAGGGGAAGGAGAGAGGAAGGCAGCAGGCGGGAGGCTGTGGGCTGCAGTCTCCCGTTCCATCGTTTGGTGGGCCCAACAGAATCAAAGCTCTAAGCCTCCCTGGCAGATCCAGGCCCTGTGAAGCACCCATGACAGAAAGGCCACTGCTAGATCTGAAGCACGGCCTCTCCCTGTTCTCTACCCTGCTGGGCCACGTCACTTCCCAGCACAAGCAGCACACACACCATCCTTACACTGTGTTTGTCTGTCCTCTCCTCGAGGCCAGGGTCACTCCCTGGGGTATGCTTGCTGCCAACGAAAGAACCTTAAATGCAGGCTCTGTGGACAACAATGCTGAAGTTGCAGCTGATGGATCCCTCTTTGCAGAAACTGGCAGCCTTCCCTGCCCGGTCACGGTGCCACTCTTTCCTGGCACAGGTCACGCCAGCCTATGGACTCACATGGAAAGCAGTCTAACCCTAACGGGGTCTTCTCAGTCGCCTGAGCCTGCTTTAATGACTTCCAGAAAAACTACGTATTAGCTGACTAGAACCTGGTAAGCAGCAGGTAAGTACTGGCTGCTAGTATTTTTAAATGTGCCTAAAGCAGAGATGAATAAAAATGAAACCGAGGCCAGCAGGCAAGGAGAAAGAAGCAATAGACCACGGGGTTGAGGCCAGAAAATTGAGCCTCACTTCTTTTCCTGACACTCGGTTGTCACCTGCTCTTTCCCAGCAGGTGGTGATGGCCTGGACAATGGGACAGGACACGTTAGACCCCACTGCTGACTGGCAGGGCAGGGTCAGGTAAGGGCCCTGTGCCCAGAAGGGACCTCCACGATTTCCAAATCCTTCTCTGGCTATGAGGACAGTGTGGGAAAGGGACCCAGGCCTCGTGACCACCCATGAAGGTGAGTGATACTGTCTCAATACCCAAGGCTGCGAGCCATGGCTGGCCTAGGAAGACTCTGCATCTCAGCTGCCTGGCTTTGCCCAGACAGCTCCTCATGAGTAGGGGCAGCAGAAGATGGCCTCCGTCTTCTTTGGTCCTAGCTGGGTCTTTTCAATCAGCAGTGAGGCAGAGCCTGTACCCTTACTGAGCCCCTAATTATATGGAGCCTCACTGCCTCTCCCCCTGCCAGGGACTCACTGCAAGGTGGAAGCCACACATGGCACCAAGGCGAGGCCCCGAGCCAAGGATGAGCCATCTGCAGAGATGAGCAACTCTGCAAGCTGTGCTGGAGAATGCACACGAGCTTGCTGCCTGTTGTGTGGGGAGGCTCCCACTACCTGTCACCAATGTCCCGGCAGGCTGATGCTGCCTGCTAAGGCTCCAGAGGAGGAGGACTGCGCCTCTGCCTCTGCACTCCCTCAGGACCCATCTGTGCCTGTTTCCTTCCTGAGTCCTGGCCCTCACGAGCCACTAGCAGTATCCACATGGCACCAAACACAGCTGACCCTCTTGTGCGGGGGATGTGCCACTCCAGGCCACTTTCCTCACCTCTGAACCCCAGCAACAGTGACCCCAGAAACTCTGAGGCCGCCCAAGCCCTTCAGATACTGCTACTGCAGTGGCCCATGCCCATGTTCCTCCTTTACCACAGACTAGGGAGAACCTCCGACCTGGCTGGGAGATGCCCGGCACCAGGGTGGGGTGGGAGACCACGGGCAGTGCCTGGCAGCAGATGCCCAGGCTCAAGGAGACCGGACCCCGGCCCCTCCCGAGTGAGCAAGCTCTCCACAGGGCCCCATGGACTCCTATGACAATGACGGATGCATCCAGCACAGCAGGCACCTTGCCCCATGAAGCCCACACAACCCGTCCCTCAATAGCCAGTGGTGATGTGCCAACCAGCGACGCGGACTGCATCAATAGGGCACTGAGTCTACCTGGTCCAAAGGGAAACAAACAGCTAGAAAGGGAACCAAAGGCCACATTCTCAGGCTGGGCAAAGGGTTCTGTCCACCAGAACACACAGGTGGTATCGAGTCGAACTTCAACATCTCACAGACTTCTGCTAGCTCACTGCTTTAAGAACGTTCCAATTTTTACTGTACCCACTACCGTAGTGGTTCACTGGGGTACAGAGATTAAACAACAGAAATTATGTTTTTACTGGGATGAAGAAAATCTGAATAATAGACATTTTTAAGTAGGAAACCTTAGTATAATGAGATAACCTCTCCCCTATTAAAAAAAAATGCTAGTAAGCTGAGCATGATGGAAGACCCACTCATTACGCCAGCACTAGGGAAAGCTGAGGCAGAAGGGTAGAAAGGTCAAGGCCAACCTGGGCATGGTGGCATACACCTATAATCCTAGCACTCAGAAGGCTGAGGTAGGAGGATTCCTCCAATTCGAAGGCCAGCCTGGGCTACATACTGAGTTCCAGGGCCAGGGATTCTGCTCAGTGGTTCTGCTGCCTGCCCGCCTGCCTGCCTCACAAGCATAAGGTCCTGGGTTTGATCCCTGGTACCAAAACAAAACAAAACCATAGTGAGTTCCAGGTCAGCCACAACTACACAGTGAGACACTGTTTCAAAAATATAAAAGTTCAAGTCCAGCTTGGAAAAGGATTGGGAGTGAGAGCTGGCAGTGAAACTCAGTGGCACAATGCTATCTATGCCTAGCTTGTGTGAGGCCCTCAGTTCAATTCTTTCTCCCAGAAGAAAGAAAAGAAAAGAGAGAAAAAAAAAACACCCCCTAATTGTTTTTACTTAATGAAATAGCTCTAACTATATTCTAATTGCATTCAAAATGAATGTATAGTAAGCCTCCCCCCTTTCTCTCCACCATAGATAGTAAAGGCAGGGGATTTGCCCTAATTGCCTTAGACAGTAGGTTACAGTAGCAAGCTGGACATGACCGTACACTTCTAGCCCCAGCTACTGAGGAAGCTGAGATAGGAGGACTGCTAGAGCCCAGGAATTTGGGGTCAGCTTGGACAATACAGTGAAAGTGAGAGTCTTTCTAAAAAAACAGAAACAAAAACAAAGACAACAAAGCAAAGCAAAACACAGCACTACACAGTATACATAGTGTGAGGTGGGAATAAGACGAAATAGATCTGTGAAAGAGACTTCAGAAATCTGACATTTTTTCTTTTCAGTGCTGGTGATTTAATCCAGGGCCTCATCCATGCTAGACAAGTGCTCTATCACTGGCTACATCCTTAGTCCTTTTCATTTTGCCCTTAATATTGAGATCTTTCTGCCTCAGCCTCCTGGGTTGCTAGAATTACATGTATGTGCCACCATGGCTAGCTAGAAATTTTAAAAAAAAAATTTGTTTTTGGTACCGGGGATCAAACTCAGGTTCTTGCACTTATAAGGCAGGCAGCGGAACCACTGAGCTAAATCCCCGGCCCTAGAAATGAGTAATTGACAAATATAATATTATAAGGTTCAGGTAAAAAAAAAAAATGGACAATTCACCAAGTGGTGAGAGCCAGAAATTTCAATGAGAGTTAAGATCCCTGTACTTTATCTTTCAAAACAAGATTTCCAAAGGAGTTAAAGACTAAAACATTAAAGTGATTATAAATGAAGTGAAAGGGATACACACAAATATTAACAAATTTACCTGGGTAGCGAAATGACAAAGTGTGGTTTCCTCATACAACATGAGCTTACTGCAACTTTTTGAGGAGGAGGTTATCCCCCCCACGCCCCGTACTGGGAATCAAACTCAGGACCTTGTGCTTGCAAGGCAGGTGCAGTGCCACTGAACTACCTCCCAGCCCAACTAAATAAGCACACAGAACTTCTCCATAGGAAGCGGCCCAAGCAGAAGTGACTACACAATATCTATTGGCAATTTCTGCTTCTGTTACCCATTTCTTGGTGTGTCTCCCCACCCCCTTCTGTGATACCAGGGTGGCTCAAAATCAGGATCTTGCACTTGCAAGGCAGGCGCAGTGCCACTGCACTAAATCCCCAGCCCCTTCTTTTGTTGGATTTTGAGACAGGGTCTCCCAATGTAGTGCACACTGGCCTCGAACTAGTGGCAACCCTCCTACATGCTCCACCATGCTCTGCGCGGCTACTTTTTTTGTACAGGGGGATCGAACTCAGGACCCTGCACTTGCCAGGCAGGTGCTGTGCTGCTGAGCTACATCCCCAGCACCCCTCCCATACAATTTTATTACCACTTTCAGGGTGTCCCAGGACTTATAGTATCATTTAAAATCCTACCACCTGAGATTTCTAACTGGCAAACAGTTCTCCAAAGCAGACAACTTCCCCTAGAGGAGTCTGCAGCAGGCTGAGCAGAAAAGAAAGGGTTTCATGGGGCTTGAGCCTTGGCCTTGGCCCTGGTACAACAGGTCTGCAGGTAGCATATGGCGATGTTTGATGTTTATGTGTGAAGAATTGTGGAGCAACCACTGCTGTCTGGAGATACATCTGGAGACCAGGAACAGCAGATGAGAAGCCAAGTTCCCCTCCATCTGCTGCAGCCACCGCCCTCACCTCTGAGGTAAAGCGGGCCAAGCAGAATGGCAACAGCTGCAGGTGAACAGTCAGGGTGCTGGCCAGGCACAGGTTAGCGAGGCCAGACAGGGACAAACAGGAGGGCAACGAGGACCAACAACCTGGGCAACAGCAGATCTGGCTCCTGAGGTAAACAGGCCTTGCTCTGGCACAGCTCACTGCCAGCAGTGACTATTCCCACTACTTTTACACATCAATCGTTCATAAAAGGATTAAATGCAATTCAGCCAGGCTTGGTGGCACATGCCTGTAATCCCAAGCATTCAGGAAGCTGAGGCAGGAGGCTCATCATTGTGAGTCGAGATCAGCTGGGGCTACACAGTGAGTTCCAGGTCAGTCTCAACTACATAGTGAGACCCTGTCTCAAAAAACAAACATCCAAAAGAAT